TTGATTTTTTGATTCCTAGATCAGAGCCAAGAGATGGATGATAAAGATGGCCAAGGGGTTAGGAAGGCTCAGAGGGCATTCTGAGTAGCTGGTGAAGACATTCGAGGCAGCCAGGCCTCAGTGCGTACTTTTCTTTTCCTGATTATTCATCTATTATCTTATTAGCCTATATGCTGGAGTATGTCCAGATATTTGGAGGCAGTGGGCAGGTGTCCAAAATCTATGACCAAATTCGGCCACATGTATTATACTCATACAAAGGAGTTTAGCTATGAAGTATGTGGAGGGGAAGCCTTATCATTGAGTGACCCCTCCCAGTTATGACATTCAGATTGTAGGACTGTGATGTAGGATATAGGCCCATCAAAGCAACAAGGACTCTGAGCAGGGATAGCAAAATCTGCCTCCGTCAGCCCCCAACTGCAAACCCATCGCCAGTTCTGTGGGACCTGAGGTTTGAGCACAGTATCAAAGCCCTTTGGCTACGCATTTGGTCTCCGTTCTCACAAACTTGGGGATTTTATTGCCCTCCTTAGAGGCCGTTCTAATTGTTTAGCTTCACAGTTGAGCATCTTCTTCACTGAGGTGAATCCTAAAAGCTGGACTCATTTCTTCTCTTATCTCTTTGCGTAAAGTTTAATGGGTATACAATCTTTTAGCTTTTCTTTTCTTCTGTGTCTGAAAAGTTGTGATAACAAAAATAACAATGGCTACAAGCTTGTGTGGAGTTAATTATTTTAAACGAGCAAAGAAGACCAAACACCTGAGACGAAAATGGCTCAGAAATTGGAAAGAAAGCATTCTGCTCTGCTGCAGTTGGTTGGTATTTGGCTCTTTCATTTTCCTCCTGAGTAACATAAGAGCCATTGAGCTCGGAGGACGTGAACATCCTGTACAGGAAATAGATGGCATATGGAGGGGGTGAGGGGGGCACCTGGCAGTCGTTCTTTGAATCCTTCAGTGAGCGTCACTTGAATATATTATAGAAGCAAGTAAAGGGCTGGAAAACAGGCTCTGCTTGGATGGCTTCCAGCACACTTCACAAAGCTCAGGAAAAGCTCAGCCAAGCCGCATGCATTTTATGTTTTCCTGAGGAAAGACTCTGCTTGTTGGTCTCAGGGTTAAGGAGTTTCAGCAAGTTTTTATAGAGACACTAAAACATTCTCTTTATATTTCCCTCTGTCACTGAAAGGAGGCCAGAGGGATAGAATCGAGGATGTGGTCACTTAAGTGTCTGCTGAGCCAGCTAGCTCCCAGAGAGAGGTGTTGGTGCAGTGACTATATAGTGGTGAGCCCCTAGCCACCTAGCTTCATTGGGTGTGTGTGTATGTGTCTCTGTGTGTGTGTGTGTGTGTGTGTGTGTGTGTGTGTTGTATAAAATCTTAGTTGAAATTTGAAGAAATTAAACTCAGAAAAGTGATGTGTGCATTTCAGACTTCTTATTTTGACCAGATAGCCCGGAATGAACACCGCTTCATCCCTGCCAGAAAATGGGCTTTATCATGAGAATAAAGTGGAAATTGTGAAGTAGGGAGAGGCAGGAAGGTGAGGGGGAAGTGACAATGGTCTTAAGACTGTCAAGAGCTGTAACTTTTCTTTTCCCAAAAATATTTTTGAGGAGAAAACTAAAGCATTTACTCTTCCTTTGTGAGAATGATTTGGGATGCTCACTGAAGCAAAAAGCCCATTTATGAACTGACTCCAGCCTTTCTTTGGCCTGTCATACACCATTGTGTTTATTTGAGAACCTGAGATTTACAGTGAGTGAATATTGACAGGGACCAGAACCTGTAGTCATTGCAATTTGCATTTGCCAGTGCAGTTTTTTCTGTATCTGCTGAACTTAAATTGTTTCTTGGCCGGAAAAAAAAAATGTAATGTTACCTTTCTCACTTATACTTTTCTATAGGAAGATTCCTACTATATTTAAGGCATTCTACCTCACTCACAAACTTGTATTTTTCTTGTTTAGAATTAATGTTTTATTATACTGTCATCTGCCTTAAATTTTAGCCATAAAAAGTATATATAATTGTAGTAAATGGAGACACTGGAGTACTGTTAGCATTAGGCAAGCAGCTAACGATGCTCCTAGGTTTAAAATATCAGTGTATTTTTTTCCCAGGCTTTCAGTTTTATTCTATTAAGACTAGAAATCAGGCTCCCTTTTTTGGTATGATTGCAATTTATGAGTAAGAATCAACTGGTTAAATAAGTGTGAGGATAGGTTTGTAAGTGAGTAAGGAAATTATCCTGGTGCTAATGAAGAAATGTGCAAAGAAAGATCTTCAAGAAAAACCAAGAGCTATATTAAATTTTAGCTGTCACTGAGTGTCTTTCAAGAGAAGTAAGTGTACCCTTAAGTTAATTTTCCACTTTCTAATTAGGAAGAGCATATCACACCCTTGACCAGGTTACTGATCTCTTGACACAGAGTATGATGCAAGGTGCCTAAACAACCCACACACGCTATGCGTAAAACCATATAGATCAGGTACTTGAATGGAATAGTGACAACCTAGCTCTAGTTCAGCCTAATAAGGCAGCGCCACCTACTGCACGCAAGCTTTATTTTATTTATCCATAATAAATATGAGCTGAATGGAAACAGCTTATGAGATCTTAAGGATTTATTTCTGCAGCGAGGTGGCCAAGTCTCTGAAGAGAAGCTGAGCTCTACAGACCTAAGCACAAAACAAAATCATTTTGCAGTCTGTTCTCTTCAAAGATGTAAATCTGAGTCAATTTATTGAAATACTTGTTTCCCTAGTGTATATCTGTATGTGTCAGTGAATCAATATATGTATGTAAACATTCATATTGGGAATAATAGAGTGGGAGAGAATGGGAGCTAGAAGAATGAAAATATGAAAAAAATAGGAATAAAGAATATTCCTTTTAGATGTCTACTGATGTGTCTTTTATTCTGAAAATAAGTCTGATGTACCTTCATATGCCCTTTTACATATACTAATGACATAAAAATTAATAATTAGTCAACCTTGTTTAAATTGAACCATTGTTCAAATTTCATCCTAGGCTGCCCACAAGTGAGCCCTTCATTAAATGATTACAGATTTAATAGGCCTTCATTGTATTCCCCTTTCTCTATAGAGTTTTTTTATTCCTATGGTAACATGTAATTCTACAGTATTTTAAAATAATAACTCATAATGTTCCTAACATATTTTGCATTGTTGAATCACATAAGCATTTACATAAAGTATTAACGAGAGCACATTTTTTTATTAGGTTGGGGTCATTAATTATTCTTTCAACCATTTTGGTTTATTTCATTTAGTCTATTACAACACAACATAAAATAACTAAGTGACAGTAGATATGGTACAATAGTGATTATGATTCTTTTTATCATTTCCTATAACTCTTCCAAGGTCTGAACTGGTTATTGACCCTTTACATCATTCATGGTGAAGCTTTCACTTTTGTGCTGAGAAGATCATATCATTTCAGATCCTGAATTATAATTAATTTCCAACATACTTTCATTTCTATTAAATTTCTTTGTCATACTACTATTAATTTATTTATATGTTAATGGAATGTCACACAGTCTGGAATGTATAGTATTTGACATTTATCAGGGCCTTGGTTTCCAAATAAAATAAAATATAATATAACTTTTTCCATATCATGGGCCAACATCATGATTATGTAATTGACACAAGTCAGGTATCCAGACATACAAAAAACACAGGTGGTTTGTTTTGTATCCTGATTTGAAGAACGCCTATTTAATTGTCAAAAACTTGATTTTTTCATACTTGTCTGTATCTTTAACAACTTTTGTTATGGGGCATCTGGGTGGCTCAGTTAAGCGTCTTGCCTTAGGCTCAGGTCATGATCCCAGGATCCTGGGATGGAGCCCCGTGTCTCGCCCCCTGCTCAGTGAGGAGCCTGCTTCTCCCTCTGCCTGCCGCTTCCCCTGCTTGTGTTCTCTCTCTCTCCCTCTCTCTAAGTCTCTCTCAAATAAATAAAATCTTTAAAAAAATAAAAATAAATAAAAACCAAAAACTTTTGTTATACTTATTGTAACTTTACTCATTCACTTAAAACTGAATATCTGCTAAATGTTAGACTCTATGCTAGGCTCAAGGATTAAAACATAAATTCCCTGCTGTCAGAGAGCTCCCTTTCTTGCAGAGCAAATAGTGTGTGGATAGTTCTCGAACAGTAAGAACAAGGAACTGTGGGCACAAAAGTAAGTCACCCAGACTTCAGTAAATGAGGTGGGGGTAGGGGTGGGTGGCAGCAAGATGGGGAAATACACATTGTTCAGTTCACCTGAGACTCAGGACTGCACGTAAGGATTGTTCTGAGAGGTGAGATCAGATAAGTAGGCAGAGTTCAGGTAATAGAGGCTCTTTTATGTTTTTGGACTTTATTCTGGACGCTTTAGTGTTTTTAAAATGTTTAAAGTAGGGCAGTGAGGGAGTGAACGATGGGATGAAATTCAAACTGATTAGAAAGACCCCTCCAGAGACTCTGGGGACACCGCTGAGAAGGGGTCCAAGTAGGGCGTGACTAGAAGGGGAGGGATAGTAACTGATCCAGAGAGTATTGAGAAATGATGAAGACAGAGGGCAAGGGGACGGTGAATGTCTGGTGGGTTCCATAATGGTAGAACGAATTCAACGTCCCAACAAATGTGAAGACCGTAGAAGTCCAGGAAAACCGGTTTCCAACATGCTAAGAGTTTGGTGACACCGCCCACTAGGCCACAGGCAGTCTCCCGACTGCAGGTGAGCCCGCCAAGGAGATCTGCTGTGCGTATGGTAAGTATACCCAGCAGAGAGATCCAGCAGGCAGCTGGCTGCAGACATCCGGAGTTCAGAGGAGAGATGTGGATCAGAGCTCTTCAAATCGAATTATTGTAAAGCCTTAGTAATGTGTGCACCTTGACTAAGAGGAATAAACTCGTTCCAATCTCCAAGACCTTCATCTGTCCCACTGTTCTCACACCCCCTTCCTCCCTGCAGAGGACTGGTATGAAAAGCTATATCCCCTCATCCTTACCCTGAAGGACTGCATGGGAGAAGTGGTGAACCGAGCCAAGCAGTCCCTGACGTTCGTGCTCCTTCAAGAACTTGCATACAGCTTGCCCCAGTGCTTGATGCTGACGCTCAGAAGGGACATCGTCTTCAGCCAAGCAGTAGGTGCCTCTTGGGAGCGCAGCACGGGGCTGGGTGGCTAACGTGTATCCTTGGCGATGGTAGAGGTCTTCTTCTGGTAGTTTCATTTTTAAAGGGATTCTTTGCTTAAAGTTTTGATATCAGTTCTCCTTGTCCATAATAAATATGAGCTGAATGGAAACAGCTCATGAGATCTTAAGGATTTATTTCTGCAGAGAGGTGGCCAAGTCTCTGAAATGTACGTCTGTTTCACGGTGCAGAGAGTCAGTGAGGAAAAGGTCACCCATCCTGTCGTCATATTATGCCCCAGGGTCTCCACACAGAGCACCGTGGAAGGAAAGGGGTGGCTGCCTTGCTCAGAGGTGGCAGCTGGGACTGGCAAAAGGGATCTGTTTGCAATCTCCCATTTATACAGCTCCCTAATGAATCGTAGGGCTGGGCCTCATAATGATCTCTTGTATGTTTTGTTTGTCTATAAAATAAGTTCGCAGGGCAGTAATGCTTAAAGGCAAGATTTAACAGGACCACCTCCATTGCCTTCACCCAACCTATCTCATGACGTCGAGGCTGGTCTCCATCATAATGGCTGTCCTGGGGCCCTTTCTTCTCCCTTCTGCCGCCACACCCACAACTGGTTTTATTGGCTAGTGGCTCAGTCGTTAAGCGTCTGCCTTCGGCTCAGGTCATGATCCCAGGGTCCTGGGATCGAGTCCCACATCGGGCTCCCTGCTCAGCGGCAAGCCTGCTTCTCCCTCTCCCACTCCCCCTGCTTGTGTTCCTGCTCTCGCTGTCTCTCTCTGTCAAATAAATAAAAATCTTTAAAAAAAAAAAAAAAGCCTGGAGGAAGGGAGACAAAGGAAAGGGAATATTTTAACCAAACTGTCCATGTCCCCCACTAGTTCGTGGATGTTTCACATACTTGAAAAATTTTAATTAAATCCGTGACGCCTCAAAAATCTTAAATATTTTTCAATTAAAGTTTGCTGACCCCAGTCAATTTTTTCAATGACTTTTCTTTTTTTTTTCTTAGCTTGCTGGTTTGGTTTGTGGTTTTATCATCAAATTACACACAAGTTTGCATGACCCTGGCTTCCTACAGCAGCTTCACACAGTGGGATTGATAGTGCAATATGAAGGACTACTAAGTACATATAGTGAGTATTGCTTTAGTACATGTTAAAATCATATTCTCATTCATAAGGATATTTGATCCATAGATTCTGCCGTTAAACATAAAAATGTAAAATAAACCTTTATGACCTAAGCAGTACAGTAATCATGTAACTTTCAGTTCTTTGCATTCATTCACCTTGTAACTGTATTCTTAGCCCCATTATGTTTTGAAAATGGAATTATAGATTATTTCATGGAGTATGAATAGTGGAGTCCTGAGCAGCCGTCTGGCTTTTTTAATATAAAAGGCTCTCTGCCAACATAGTTTCAATGACTGGATTTTTAAAGTCCCAACTCTCTAATGTCTAGAACTGCTCTATTTAATACATAGCCTGGTGTGCCTATTGAGCACTTGAAATGTGTCTAGTCCAAATCAATATGTACTAAACATGCACACCAGATTTCAAAGACTAGTAAAAACTAGTTTTATATTAAAAATTAATAATTTTACATTGATTTATAATTGAAATGATATTTGGGTTTATTGGGTTAGAGTAAAATACATTATTAATATTAATTTCACCTTTATAAATTTTACTCTATTAAAAATATGGCTACCAGGAAATTTAAAATTATTTACGTGACCTGCATTATATTTCTATTGGATAGTGTAGCTCTATATCTATTTCTAGAAATCAAAGATCACGCCTATCAATGGAAAGAAAGCTACGTGATACTCTGTTTCATAAAGGAGTTAACACTTCTCTGTAGCCTTCCAGCAAATGTATACATTCTTTCCCTCCAAGGGTACTTGGACTGCTGGAGTCCACTGAAATGGTTCTTATTTCACTGGTGAAAACCTTCAGCCTCTGAGGAAAAGTGTTTAGAATATATTCACTGCATTCAGAAACTCATTCACTAAAATGCTAAAACAAATCCCAGCAGGGAGATGTAGTACCAAATGACATTTTCTTTAAATAGTATGTTTGTAACAATCTTCCTTTTCCCTTGTGTAGGTGATGAAATCGGAATGCTAGAGGACATGGCTGTTGGCATTTCAGATTTGAAGAAAGTCGCATTTAAAATAATTGAAGCCAAATCCAATGATGTCTTGCCAGTTATAACAGGAAGGCGGTAAGTGGCACCCATTTCCTTGAGACCAAGCTTTGTTAGATATTTGTCTTAACTCCTTATAAAGGAGCCAAGGAAAATTAAGGTTTGGTTTGGAAAATTTTCTTTTGTTCCTTTTTCCCTGTTTGGTGGAGAAATGAATGTAAGTGACATAACGGGGAAGATCTTGAAAAACTCCTAGAAGGCTCATGAATATTTATATATTTGTATGGTAGTGAGGTGAGCATGGTAATGCTCCCCCATGAAATATGAGGCATTCAAAAGAATAGTAGGCGTGAGAAGAACATTTTTCTCTTTATTACTATCTAGTCCAAAGCTCTGGGTGTTTTTACTTTTGCTGGAATAATTTGGTTAATGGCGTCATAATTCTTGAAATGACTTTATATTAAATTCTGTTGAAAGCAGCAACATTTTAGAAAAGATCTATTTCTGTGTCAGGGGCATATACCATTTTTCTTAATTATTTTTGACAATTCACCCAGAGACTGAAATTTCCGAGAATGGTTTTAAATAAATAGCTTTGAAGGTCAGTGAATGATGGGCAAAATATCAGAAATAATTAAGAAAAATGATGGAGCATAGAATAGACCTCCAACAGAAGAGTTACAGCCTATGGTAAATCATTTCAGTCAGAAATCCACCAAATTGTAACCATTCTGACATTCGCGCTTTTAAATGCTGCATGAGGACATATGAAATTTGAAACATTCTTAGATCACAATGAAAAACTATGAATGTGCTAAAGAGAAAGCCCTTTTCATGCTGGAGAGAGATGGAGAAGAAAGTAAGGATAAAAGTTCAAACTAAACTTGCTTTCTTGTGTATAGTAAACATACAATGGTTATTTTAAACTTTGTATGAAGGATGCTCAGAGAAACATGATTGAATGAAAAGTGACTATTTCATATACATCAAGAAAAAATAACCTCATAAAACTAAATATTTCATCTGTGAGCTAGTGCTTAATTTTCCATGTACTGGAAGAAAGAATAAAATTGCCCATATACACACCTGGAAAATAGTACCACTCTGTATTATCAAAAGTGGGGATTATCAAAAGTGGGAAACTGATACTTCTATCACAATTGATACAGGAAGTTTCTCAGGCCATTTGGTATAGTAGAGTACGGATGCTTTTTCTGAGGGAGTTTGCAGGCTGTTTCTAAATTCAAAAGTTACAAATCAGATGTGAGTAGAACTCACAGAATATGCCAAAGTGAGCAGTCTGGCAAACCCTCTCTCCAAACGGCAACATTGCAATTGGACAGAATTCCCAAAAACAGCCATCTTGAGACGAAGGAAATAAGTCAAATGTGCACACAAACTTACAAATACTTATTAATGAAAAACCAGTGGACATTGGTTAAGGCACATGGTGTCCACGGCACTCCTGCCCAGAGTTGCTCCCCTAAAACCCAGCTTGGTCAGCGCAGTATTACTGGGGTAACAACAGGCTGAAGAGACCAGCAGTTTCACTTCCAGAGGGGGCTGACTTGATTTGGATTGGAAAGCAGAAAAAAACACACTCCTGAAAAGTTGTTGGAAACAGTGGTGATTTAGATAACAATTTCGTTCACAATGCGTCAAAAAGAATAATTACATCAGACCAGATTTAACAAAGTACTCTAAGAATTGTACACAGAACACACAAAATCGTGCTTGGAGAAATTAATAAGATCCAATAAACAGAAAGACAGTCCGTGTTCCCAGATTAGGGTACTCGATATTGTTTAGATGGCAGTTCTCCACAAACCGATCTATAGATTCAGAGCAATTGCTTGCTAAATCCCAATAGTCTTTTGTGCAGAAATTGGCAAGCTAAACCTAAAATTTGTATGGAAATGCAAAGGACTCAGAATTCCAAAAACAATTTTATAGAAGGACAAAAGAAGACTTACACTTTCTGATTTCAAAACTTAATATAAAACCACAATAATGGAGACCCTCTGGTACTGGCATAAGTATACACATACAGATCAATGGAACAGACTTGAGAGCCCAGATGTAAACTATTACCTTTAGGGTCAATTGATTTTTGACAAAGGTGCTAAAGTCATTCAACGGAGAATGCAGAGTCTTTTCAAAAACTGTCGCTGTGACAATTGGTATCCATACGCAGGAAAAGTCATTTAGAACCTCAATTTATGCCATACACAAAACTAACTCACAATGGATCATTGGTCTAAATGTAAGAGCTAAAACTATGAAACTTATAGGAGAAAATATTTGTAATTTGGGTTAGGGAAAGATTTCTTAGATACGACCCGAAATTCTAGATTCATAAAATACACAATTCCATAAATAGGATTTAATCAAAATTATAAACTTTTAAGGAGCAAAAATGTCATTATATCATTAAGTAAATGAAAATGCAAGCTGATTGGGAAAATAAATACAAATCATTGATCTAATAAAAGGCTTACATCCAGAATATATAAAGAAATCTTACAACTCAATAATTATGAGACAAAAACCTAATTTAAAAATCGGCAAAGCATTTGAATAGATATTTTGCCAGATAAGATATATGAGTGGCTTATATGCCCATGGAAATATGGTCAGTGCCATCAGGCATTAGGAGAATGCAAATTAAAACCACTGTTAGATACCACTTCGCTCACAATGGAAATCGTCATAATCAAAAAGTCAGACAATAACAAGTGTTCGTGAGGATGTGGAAAACCTAGAACCCTCATACATTGCTGGTGGGCATGTAGAGTGGTGCTGCCACTTTGGAAACAGTTTAGCAGTTTCTTAAAAAGTTAAACCTAAAAGTACTATATGACCCTTAGGTATATATACCTAAGAGAAAATGAAATCATATGTCCACAGAAAAACTAATGTATGAATGTCGATGGCATTATTCATAATAGTCCAAATTGCAAACTATGCCAAGTAGCCATCAGCTTGTGAGTACATAGGCAAAATGTGGTATATCTACACAACAGAATGCTATAAATAGGAATAAAAAGGAATAAACTGCCAATACATGCTACAACATAATGACTTCAAAGTCATCACACTAAATGAAAAATGCTAGATACAAAAGCCTGCATATTATATGATTCTGTTTATGTGAAATAGGTAAAAAAGTAAAATCTGCCGAGACAGAAAATAGATCAGTGGTTTCCCAGGGCTGACGGTGGGATTGGGGTGTGAATGCAAACAGGTATGAGGGATTGTTTTTAAGGTGATGGAAGCGTTCTGAAACTGGAGTATAGTCAGGATTGCACAAGTCTATCAATTTGCTAAGACTCTGAACTATGCACTTAAAATGCATGAGTTTATGCTGGTTCTATTTTAATAAAGCTGACAAAAAGTTACCGTAAAACATTATAAAATGTTTCACCTTCAGAGCAACCTTTACACATGGACAGACTCATTAATTCTTCTCATATTCTTGAAAGACTTGAAATAAATAAACATCAGCCCTGTCAGCCAGGCTTTTGTAAAGGGCACTGAGAGCAATTTGAAAAAGAAAAATAATGTGTCCATTCATCTGAGGGTAGTGCTCACACCCCTGCTTGCTGGATTCATGGTATTTTCTAGTTCTCTGGTTCGGAGCTCAGGTAAGAAACAAATCTGAGTCCATCATCCGGAGGAGTATGTGTCAGTATGGTTATACCAGAAAACTAAAAATATTTTTACAAAGAGACTCACTAATTGTCTGGTGCTTCTTTTCCCAATAACATGCATTACAATCCCAGCACTATATATAGCTCCAGAAACATGGATGTTCATAAATTCTGAGCAAAACTCTCTACATTTCAATACTCAGTTCACACCGCATCAGAAGATGTCAAGTTTAGGGGCACCTGGGTGGCTCAGTCAGTTAAGCAGCCGCCTGTGGCTGATGTCATGATCCCGGGGTTCTGGGATCGAGTCCCACGTCTGGCTCTCTGCTCAGCGAGGAGCCTGCTTCTCCCTCTCCCTCTGCCTGCCGCTCCCCCTGCTTGTGCTCTCTCTCTCTGTCAAATAAAAAATAAAAAATCTTTAAAAAAAAACATATCAAGTTTAAAAATGTACAAGCAGCTCTTCTTGTTGACCATGCTCTGTGAATCCTAACTTAAATTTTCAGCACTGAACATTAGGGGTAATTTTTAATGGAAATTTCCAATGAAGAAAAGCTGTTCCTGTGATATGCTAATGTTGCAAAAATGATCAGAAACCCCCAAAGGTTACATCTTAAGTAATGAAACCATTCCATTTCCATCAGGACATCACAAACAGGGAGGTTCATCAATAATAGTAACAATCAGGCCCTGCTCAAAAGTATCCTAAATGATTTGGTTTGTTAGTGTCCCTATATTGAAAAATCCATCATTAAATTACTTTTCTTATTCTTGAGACTGACTGGGTTTTAAAAATGAGTAAATCAAGAAAATAAATACTGAGTCTCTTATGCACGTGGCCCTGGTATACAAATGAACTAAACATTCTTCCTTTCCTAAAGGAACTCAGAGTAATGGAGAAACATTTTTAAAACTGGAAATAGTTCTTTATGCCAGGTAATTTAATAGTGAAGTGAACAAAATGATACCCCAATGAATTAATAACAGAAAATAAGCAAATAGCAGCCAACAACCTAAATCAGCTCTGTATTCCAACTGTTTGTTTCTTTCCAATGACTCTAACATAACAATGAATGAAATAAGCTTCTTCTCTTTGTCCTCCGCTGTCCTCAGGGAACATTACGTGGTGGAAGTGAAGCTTCCAGCTCAGATGTTTGAGGCACTGCCTTTGCAGATTAAAGAGGGACAATTGCTCCATGTGTATCCAGTACTTTTTAATGTTGGAATCAATGAACAACAAACTCTTGCTGAGAGGTAAGCTTCAGGTAGAAAATTGACACTTCAGTTGTTCTTTTCCGCTGTTATGGGTATGCTGAGCGATTCCCTAAGCTCCTGCACACGAAACTCAGATAGACTCATAGGTACATTTTCCTTTTTATCATACCAAGTCATTCGAGATGGCAAAGAGAAATATTCATATTTCAGGATTCCTGGCCCACATCAAATTTAAACGCGGCAAAGGAATGAGGAAAATATTGATGCCAATGCCAAATTATTTACATGGATTAACTTTCTTCACAGTTCCAAATACCGCGTGTGTGTACCCAATTTTAGCATCGTTTACGTTCATATGTATTTCAGCATTGTAAGCTCAGCCGATTGGGTCAAACTTTTCTGGACCTAAAACACTGTTATTTTTCCCTTTTATTTACAACAATAGTTGTTACTGGGGGAGGTTAGCACATCTTTTCATAATAACCTGCTTAGTCAAACAACAGACGATTGTACACAGTCCTGTGAGTTACTGTAAAAAACACTTTTTTGTGTCTTACATGGTTCAATTGTAGAGATTATTGAAAATGTGAATAAGACTTAAAGTTCATAGAATACATTTTTAAGAGATTCTGGAGAAAGAAGTCGCTATCCTGCTGTGAGGCCTGGCTGGAGAAGATGGGCAGACCTTTTGGAGAGTTTGATAGTCTTCCGTATTTAAAATGCTTCTTGTCCATAATTCACTCTCCAAATGTGTCCTTCCCCCATAGGTATCAGTTAAAAAGCGCCCAACATATTCTTTGCCATGACTTGATAAGTCTGTGTTAAATCTGTACCGATGTCTTTTACTAAATTAAAAATGCCACTACATTTATGTCCTCCTGAATTTCAGTGATGGTCAAGGTGCCTGTTTTTATCTATTCTCTTCCAGTGGTTTTTCCTTCTCTCCCTCTTATCCAAAAGGTATTTCCTGGACAGCATAGGTTTTCATAATTCTCCCTTGTCAGTTACAAAATTAGGGGGCACCTTTGTATTTCATGTTTAATTTCAAATTGTGTAGAAGCCATAAATCTCTTTTCTTATAGTATGCATAAATCAGAATATTATTTTATTCACTGTGTTGTACAAGAAGTTTACTTTGATAATTGAGCACTTTTCCACATCAATACCTAAAGTGAGATTATAGTCCAGTCATCCGAACATATGTGCCTCACAGCAAGTCCAATGGTTGAGGTAAATGATATTTATGAACATAAATTGTTCAATTTGGAGGAAAAAAAACAGCATAGTACTTTCAATTAATTGTCTCTTCTTTAATATACTAGATTACAGAGTGTTTTGGGTTTGAATTAATAAGTTAAGGCCTGTGAGTGTGGTCTTGAAAGAGACATGAGAGTCCCCATTTACAGACTTTTCAAGGAAGAGTTAGCATTGTAGTTACCATTGTATTTTCAAGCCCTCTAAACTACGTTAGATTGCATCATTTATGTCATTGTGACTATTTCATTTGTCAGTCATTTTATTTTAAAAAATCCCTTCTCATGGGGCGCCTGGGTGGCTCAGTCAGTTAAGCCTCTGACTCTTGATTTCGGCTCAGGTCATGATCTCAGGGTTGTGGGACTGAGCCCTGTGTCAGGCTCCATGCTGAGCGCGGAACCTACTTAAGATTCTCTCTCTCTCCCTCTCCTTCTGCCCCTCCCCCCACTAGCACTCTCTCAGGAAAAAATAAATGAGTGAATAAATAAATAAATATAAAAAACAAAAGTTCCCTTCCTTTCCTTTTCTCTTCTGTCTCTGGCATATTCTATCTATGTGTCTGTGTGTGTATATACTTTTTTTGTCCTATCTGGAAGCTATAAAGACACTTAAGACTTGAAAAGGAGACAAAATGGCAAAGTGGAAAAAAATTCAAAGAGAAGCAGGAAGGCTGGCACTCTGATATCAGCCAACTACTGATCTGAGTAAATCACTTCCTCTCTGTTCTCTGAACCTTATTTCTCTGATTCTGAATTTTGAGCTTTACCGGGCAACATCTATAAGTTAGGTATGCTATGTAATCCAGTTGTAATATTTTACTACATATTTACCCATTGCCAAAATGTATGTTATGTGTATCCGTTCTTAATTAAGTACTAATTACTCTGGGTTACCTTAACAAAATACCTCAGACTAGGTGGCTTAAACAACAGAAATGTATAGCTCATAGTACCAGAGGCTGAGAATTCCAAGGCCAAAGTTCTAGCCAATTTAGTTTCTGGTGAGAGCTCTCTTTGAGTTTTTCTCTGTGTGCTCACTTGACTTCTTTTTTGTATACACAGAGATAGCGAGCTCTCTGGTGTCTCTTTTTATAAGGACACACTAATCCTACTGCATTAGGGCCCCACTCTCATGACCTTTAATTACTTCTTTAGAGGCTTCATCTCCAAACATAGCCACTGGAGGTTGGGGCTTCAAAATGTGATTTTGGGGGGGAGGACACAAACATGTAATCCATAACAATGACGTTACTTCAGCAAGGATAATATTTTTAAAATACCTTTTGATTATAATCTCTGAAAAAGTTTTAAGAGTATATTTCAGAGTTTAGAGAAACTGTCCTGTAGATTTTTCTGGTTCTATATTCCTATTCTCCAAGTTTAACTCAGTATAGATATTGAACACTGACCTTGCACCAGGCACTACTCTGTCAAGCTGTGGGACACAGGGAGCATGCAGTGTAACAAGATAAATGGATATGATCCCTGTCCTAAAAAAAACTTACCATCCCATAAGGAAGCCAGATCAACAAATAATACGTTACAGTTTGACTCATGCAATAGGCAAAGATGTGGAAGGGGCAGAAATAATGGAGGAAAGGAAGTGATTCACAGATGGGAGAGGAATTCATCAGGGAGCTTTCATGGAGTAGATGAGCCTCTCATAAAGCCTGAAGGATGAATTGATCAAGCAGACAAGGAAGATAAGACATTCTAGTTAGAGGGAAAATAGCATGTAGAAAGTCCCAAAGGCATCAATATGCTGCTGGTGAGGGAGAAGAGGGTAACTACATTCCCACAAGGGTTTTTGGAAGCCTTTGTGGAGAAGTTAGATGTGAAACTAAGGAGATTAGACTTGGTCATTACAGAGAGAGGAGAAGCAGTGAAGCTTAGTAAGCTGATATGAAGAAAGGTATCAGAATCACTTCTCCAACATTTCATTTATTGCACATGCAGCTCCTGGCACATAGTCAATGTTAAATAAATATTTGTTGAATGAATGAATGATCTGACCATGGTGTAGAGGGTAGACTGGAAGGGAAGGAGACTGAAGGCACAGTGCTAGAGTATTTGGGAGGCTCTATATCCAGTCTAGAGTGGATATACTTAAACGCCTAATATATAATGACAGTGTTAAAGAAAAAGAAGGAAAGTCTGCCAGACATGTGAAAAGATCAATGAATAGTGAATGTGGTGGCGAAAAGAGAGGAAATCCAAAGGAGTGCCTAGACTTTAACCTGAGTTAACGCAGAATATTGGGGACCTGTTTAATTCTAAACAAAAGGAGGAGGTGGTTTCAGTTTGGGCTTATGTTGCGTTTGAAATGGGGTGGGATAATTCACACTGAAATTTTCAGCTGATATCTAGAAATACAGATTTGGATGGAGATACATATTAGAAGCCATTTACATATGATCCTTTTATAGAGGCACACCTTGACCATAAGTTTAAATCTGGAAAATGCTTAAAGAAAACACAAGGTTAGTGATACACAGGTAGAGTTTTGTGGTGAAGAGGCAGAAGAGCACCAATACAGAGGCTGTCAGCCTTCATGGTGTGGACAGAAAATTAATGTTGGGGGCGCCTGGGTGGCTCAGTTGGTTAAACGTCTGACTCTTGATTTTGGCTCAGGTCATGACCCTCGGGCATCAGAGTGAACCCCGCATTGGGCTCTGTGCTGGGTGTGGAGCCTGCTTGAGATTTTCTCTCTCCTTCTCTTTCTGCCCCTCCCCTGTCTCTCTCTCTGTCTCTGTCTCTGTCTCTCTCTCCCTCCCTTCTCCCTCCCTCTCTAAAAAAAAAAAAAAAAAATAGAAAAAGAAGTGTTGACAGAAGTAGACCACTCTCTAGAGATTGTAGGGGTCTACATGTGCCTACAGCAACTGACAGTGGACACAAGACTGTATGCAGCCGAGTGTCTGCTTTTGATGTTCCGGACCCTCCTCCAGCTGTCATGAGTGAAGAGGAAGATTCGAGGAATGAAAAAGAAGAGGCGGGGTTTTTTTCACTTTAGAAATACAGCCCTGCAGGGGCGGGGAACCTCACATTAACTACATAACAACTATGCACAAGCACAGGAGCTGGTGTTATAGATTAGGTTTTTCATCCAGTTTGCATTTGATGATTGTGAAAATAGTTTGGTGTGTGAACAAGGATTGGTGGGGTCAGGGCCAGTGGAGACTGGAAAGTGTTTAAATAACCAGTGTGCAATGTCGCTTAAGAAAAAGACTCCTTTAGGGAAACTCTTGCTGTCTACCTAAAAAGGAGAGGTAAAAAGTGTTGCTTTCAGGACCTTCTTTATAACCTCTAATTGTGTTCTTTGTTCTGTTTTTAGGTTTGGCGATGTCTCTTTGCAGGAAAGTATTAATCAGGAAAATTTTGAACTTCTAAAAGAATATTACATGACATTTATAGAAAAGATGCCACCTGATTGTAAGTATGCCAGTTTCAGAAAGCGACAATAATAATTTCTTTTTTTAAAAAAGATTTATTTATTTATTTATTTGAGAGAGAGAATAAGATAGAGAGAGCACGAGAGGGGGGAGGGTCAGAGGGAGAAGCAGACTCCCTGCTGAGCAGGGAGCCCGATGTGGGACTCGATCCCCGGACTCCAGGATCATGACCCGAGCCGAAGGCAGTCGCTTAACCAACTGAGCCACCCAGGCGCCCGACAATAATAATTTCTTGATTATAAATTCTCAGGACAGGTCAGACATAGAGGTCAATGAGAAAGACGCATGGGGTAAGGATGGGAGAGCAACTCTGAGATTATCTGAACCAAGGATTGCCAAGGTGGCATGGCTGACACCTGCCTTTACTGCCTTGATTGCGCTCTTGATGTCCTGCTGCTCACGCTAGGACATTAATTTCAGTGCCACTGAAAATACCAAAAATCTAAAAATAAGGAACTTCTACTTGGAAATCTCAATTGAGTCTGGTAAAAATTTTATATAATTCTTAACCATGTAAAAGACTTTAATAAGTATTTTAACTTTCTGATTTAGAATCTGTATCAGATAGATTGCACATATACAAGGAGAAAATCAGATAGAATACAAGTTGATACGGCTAATAAAAAGTGATATGGAAGAAGGAATAATTTATTGAATATAGTGATTGCGATATTTATATGAAACTGTTAAGGCATCCAAGCCTATAGAAAGGTATTTTACACTTCGGAAAATTTTTTTTTAGGTCATTGTTCAGTTCTTTTTTCCACAAAATTAAGCACATAACATTTGAGCAGTTCAAAACCAGAGAATCAAAAATGTGTTTAGAGTTCATCGATAAGCAATATAAATATGTTGAAATATTGAGATATTTACAATGATAAGAAACTTGGTTTTAATAAAGTAGGAAATATTTTCATATTTTAACCAAAAGCTGTAATAAAAGTCTACCTGTCATCTACTCACTGGCAATTTGTTCACTGATCTGAACTTAATCTGAAATACCTTCAGTGGCAGAGTGTTTAGGACTTTTCATAAACCAATGAATCTTGCATCAAAATATTACAATGGTATATGCAAGTTCAAGTGTGGATAGTTAGAAAAATTCACCTGCAGGTTTTTTTTTCTGTTTGTGGTTTTTATATTATTTTATTTCACATAAAATATTATTTTTATGCCAAAATGAAGTTAAGTGCAGAGAGACTTCTTGGCAGCCAGTGTGCTTGTGAATTCTAAATTTAATTACTTAAAAAGTTAATAATATAAACAAAACTATTCTGCATTAGTAACTAATGAAAAAAGTTTTATTTTAACTTGGATGTGGTAGATAATTTTTTTACAAGTGACCTAAAATTTGGATGGAAGTAATTCTCAGAATTCTTATAAACAACTCTATTTCTACCAGTCCTTTCAAGGTATGGTCATGGGACCAGCAGAATCAACATCACCTGGGAACCTGGTAGCAATGCAAATTCTCAAGCCTCTCTGCAGATCTGTTGAGTTTGCCCTGTAATCTGTGTTTTAATAAACCTTCCACATGATTTCTAATCCATACTAATTTTTGTGAACCAATGATATGCCATCGTTACTCAAATTATATATTATATTTAAAAGTAGGTTGTTGGCAAAGTCTGTGAAGGACTTCAGTATTATATATTAAACAATTATGTCATCTTAAAAAGAAATATGTATTAGTCATGAGTTATTGCCTGAGATATGAAAAATCTCTACATTCAAAAAAAAAAAAAACAAAAAACTCCCTACGTTCAAGTCATTTAAACTCTTCCTAAGAACAAAGGTTTAAAAAACCTCATATAATATTCTGCTAATTAAATATAACTAACTAAGTGTGTTTACAACTTGTAAATATACTTCATCCTTGAAAATAGAGTAGACTTTTGCATCAAACCAATTGTATTCCATTAGTTGGACAGTTGTTTTAACATACTGAGTTTTTCCTGATACTTTATTTCCTATTATGTCAACATATTTTTGAGACAACACTGTCATAGACTTGGCACAGAATTTTATGATATTACTTTGGTTGTTTTCCATAACAAAAGTCCAAACCTGATCTGTGTTATTATACTGACATACGTAGGGTTATACCTCATGCATAAATATTGTAGCCCAAAGCATCATTTGAGTTGCACTGCACTCCAGGAAGAAACTATAAAGCTTTATTAACAGTGTGAATAGAGGTTAAACTATTTGTAAAGGAGGGAAAAATTACCATGCTGGATCATACCCATAATCCATATAATCTATTATGTTTCTTTCACAGTGAAATTAAGGGATAATTTGTGTCAATGTTAAGAGGATAAATTAATCCTCTAAACTCATGACTTTCACTTATTAATCCATTTTGGATGTGCTGTCCATTAATTTACTAACCCTTTTTTTATGATTTATGAATTAAATAGTTGAAATCTATATGTTTTTGAAGTAAAAAACTTTCCCTTTCTTCCCGAAAGAATTTTTTTTTTTACCTTAAGGGATGTCCCCTACTTTTGTGATATTAGGATTGAATGAATAAATCCATTTCAGCTGATTTGAGAAAACATACATGATAGGAGACTATCCATAAGTATGAGGAAAGAAGGATTAAAGAACCCACAAAAAATGGGAAATTGTTAGAGATTAGGGGTCATCAAACATTGCTATAGTTAAATGAGAAGGATTTCAGCCAGGACAAGGTAAACAAGAATTAACAAATGTGATGAAGAGAAAAAGATTCAAGAGAAGCTGTTGGATTTGGTGGTTATGAGCATTGATGACATTCCGTGGAGTCGTTTACATAAAAACATGGAATGGAACCACATCAAAGTCATTTAAGAAGAGAACTTGTGTTGTATAAGCAGACAGCCAGAGCGAAAGCCACCCTCCCAGGAAAGTTTACAGTGACTTACAAAGAATGAAAATGCTGAAATCAGTAGAATCAAAGAAGAGGGTTTTTCTCCTTTGTTTCTTTTTAGTTTCATTTTCCAAGAGAAATGAAAATTTTTAAGATGTTGAAATTACAGGACAGTCGCGAGGGGCTAAGGATCTGCTCTGCACCCTGCCTAGATGTTCTACAGATGGGCGCAATGATAGGGCCCCTGGATCTAGCCAGAAAACCCATGAGGGGCCCCAAGAAAGAGCAGAGGACTATGCCTCCCATATGATACAGAGATAGAACTTTACTCCAGAGGGAGGAAGGATCATTCTGGCTTTTAGGAAAAGAAATCTGCCCTGCCTGGCTGAAGCCCCTGTAACACCTGAAATCCAATACAAGGTCACAGATAATTCTTTAAGATTGGTGTTCTGAATATATAAGGTTTAGAAAGAGGCCAAGTGTAGTTTAGGCCTGCTGGTCCACCACTGTCTGTCAGGTCTTTCTGGTCCTTTGGTAGCTTCAGAGGAAAATGCCTCAAAAAGAGTTTTATCACAAGCACTATACTCACTTTAAAAATCAGGTTAGTCATGGTTTTCCCTGATATCCTGTCAAATTCTTTTAACATTATTATTAAAACATAATTCTTTAACTATCATTTGTAAAAGCTGCACATGAGTGTCAAACACGTTTAGTTTGCTGAGCTAAGATTTAGTTAACAGAGTGCAATTTATTTAAACCAAAATATTTCTGTGTCCTTTGAGCTTATATTTTCAGTTAATATTTTACATTTTTTTAGTATTTTTATTTATCTTACCTCTCATTTAAAAAAAATAGACCAAGGGAGCAAAGCTGGTTCAGTGAAGGATAAAATTAGAAAGAAAATTATAATATTAAAACTCAAAATAATGTGAAATATAAAAGTAACAGGACTCCATTAGGACAAGAAAACGTTCATATGAGAAGATTTCCCAGAAGTAGGTGAAAAAGAAAAGCTTAACTCTGAATACAGTGTTGAATATCTAAAATCAGATTTTGTTAAGTCAGAAAATGAATCAACTCACCCTTCATATCTAATACTTTGTCTTTTAAAACTATTGCCATTATAGCCATTGAAAATTCAACAGGAGTTTTCAAACATAAGACAGAACTCTCTAGTAAATCTATAATTTTTTCTAGAACAAGTATATGGTAATAGTTTCCTGAGTAAAATTATTGATTTTGCTTCTCTAAGAAATGAAAAAACAAAAACAAACACAAAACAAACAGCTACCAAGGTATCATTCGTAATTGTACTTTATGTAAAATAAACTTACAAGTGGATGCACAGCAGACTATTGCTAAGAAACAGACAACTAGCTACAATATTTACAACACATACTGTGCTCTGGAAGAAATCAGTACTAGGTCTTGGCAAACTTCTTTAGCTGATCACACTGTTGGACTTCCCACATGGCTCAATACCATAGAGTGTGGGAGGCCAGTGGCTGGCTCACAGGCTAACAGGTTACCTTGTGTTACAAATGGATAAAATCACTGAGGAGCAGCATATAAATCAGTCCTTGGAATATTGAGCATATGTCAGAGAGAAGAATCGCACCACATTTGCTCTGTTTATTAATGAAAATAAGGCTACTTAAATGGATATTTCCTTTAGTTAGTAATTATATTATGAACTCTGGTTGCAGACCAGAAAATATGTGATGTAATCAATACTGACAGCATCAACTGTGTGTGCCACATAGATGGGCAAGGCTCCATAAGCAAAATCAGGTGCATCTGAATATCAATCCACTTACTGTTTATTTACTTAAAATTGGAGGCCACGTGTGTTGACACTTGCAACATGGCTCAGTCATGCCACAAGTTTAAATTTGCTGCCTTTAGTTTTTCAGAACAAGTGGTGGGTATTTCTGGCCCCTGCTTTTCAGAGCCCTCTATCCTTAGACTACCATCCATCCTGAGCCTGGCTCGCCATACCTCAGCAGGCTCTGGAAATAATCTGAACTTATAAAATGAGAAATGACATAAGGCAGATATCTCAAAAGACATTAACAAACACATGCACAGACATGGAGTTGCACACACATACACACACACACACACACATT